GTAGTAACTAGATTATACCACAAAGCATGACGGGCGGAGAATTGAGACGATAAGTGACATTCTCCAACCACAAACAGGAGTATGGAATTTGGAATTTTGGTTATGGGAGTATGTGTGGGCATTTGTTTTCTTTATTATAACTAGCTACTTGTTGTGTAGTGAGTCACGCGGTGAGACCGAGTCGGGCATGTGGGAAGCATGATCTTGGCCGTGTGCACCGGTCCTTGACTCCTAGGAGATATTAAGCATTGCTTAGGACTTAAAAAATAATAAAAATAAAACAAACAATTTTTTGATATTCGAATTATCGAATCTTCACTTTTTCCCCCTCTCCCTCCCTCTCGTGCTCGTCGCGTCCCCTCAAAAAATTATGATCGAGTCACTGGCATTTTCACCATGCCACCTGTTTGTAAAAAGCGTCCCAACGCCAAGTTGGACAACACGAGAGTCCACTCGAGAGCTCTCGATCAAGTACCTGGCCTTGCCTGTCATGGTACCTATGGTTCTCGCTTATGACCTTACCTATAGGTAACATGACGCACAACTATCTTACTTATTTGTATGATTGATACTAGCGCAGGAATGAAGTATAAGTATCGAAGTACTTGCACTCTAGGATAGATTGTGCAACGTCTTATTAATATATTCCTACCCGTACTTCGTCCTCTCGTACCTCCGATCTTCTTGTGACTCCGTTCCAACGAGACCTACCTGTGATATTGCTCAGTCTCCGAAATGCGCGGAGATGAGCAAGGTCTCAATCAAAGGGAAGGAAAAAGCTCTCCCCGCCGTCGCTGAACCCGATACTGACATGATCGGGTCAGCTGAAATTTTTGAAGAAATTCCTCAACGAGTCTCCATCCCCCACGGAATTGGAGAATCTTCCAAACCTCCTCCGACCGTGTCAAAACCGTCGGAAAACGCTGCACCCATAGCAGCGTCAACATCAACGTCGCAGCCAACAGCTGCCACGAAAGCAGAGTGTCCCCTCGAGCTCCGACCAATAGTCGAAGCTGAACAACGACGCGCCGCCGAAACAGCGGCAAATCTGGCCATCTCTGGCGTCGAAGCCACCCTCCTCTCTTTGACCAACGGGTCAAATAGACAATTCGTAGACTCCATGAGAGTCTACTTACGCGCCGCCATTGCGCAATACATGGCAACGGGCCCGGCCACTACGCCACCCGTCCTCCCTCCTCGCCCGGCAATCCCTCCCCAAAGGGCTCCCGACGCCAGGAGCATACAAATTCCCGCCGTCCCAGTGCTGCCTATAAAATGCACCTGGGCTACGGTGGCCAGAAACAGACTGCAACAAAAAGGAGTCCAAACTGTAAAGGCTGTGCCGCGACCTGCGGTCAAAGGCCCCAAAGAAAGAAGCTCCCAAGGCGAAAGTCGACAAACGACTGTTCCTTCGCCTAGAAAAGGAGCACCCGTGGCGCCAGCTTTCGCCAGCTGGCCCACGTCAACAACTACGGAGTGCGCTAGATTGCTTCTTGAGTGACGCCTGCTCTATACACCGTGTTAGAACCGGCTTTTCGATTCTGACAGGGAATGAAAAGAAAAGGGAAGAGCTCCTAGATGCCGCACCAAAGTTTTCGGACTTCGGCGCCAAGCTCGAGGAAGCCTCCAACCTTGACGTCTTTCGGATCGCGAATGTTCCGGCGACCATAAAAACAATCAACTGTATTCATACGGTTCATGCTAGGTGGATCTCATTGGAGATCTACCGAAAAACACATAAGCTTCCACACCAGGTGCTACCGCACGGGACATGCCGTCCTGGAGCACCGTACAGAAATTGGAAAGCCCTTTTCACCCGGGGCAACGACCCTCGCCCGGGCTTCCGCATTCTCGACGAGGCTGGTATGGCTACCATTCACAAGCCTCGTCCACAAATTGAACAGTGCAAACGCTGTTTGGGCTTCCACGCCACCCGTGGTTGCTCCCGCGCTCCAGCCTGCTAGAGCTGCGGGTCTAACATGCACTCGGAAGCCGAGTGCAAGGCCCTCACAAAGTGTTGCAACTGTGGGGGACCTCACCGATCGGACTCTCGGGACTGCCAAGTCAGACCCAGAAAGTCTGGGCCGGTGACAAAGGAGCAGCTCGCATGGATACGCCACCTCGAGCAAGAGAAGTTCGGGGAGGCGGCTCGAGCTAGGGCTGCAGCCAAAAAGGCCGAAGAGGCGATCGTCGCCGCGGCGAAGGATGTCGCAATGGCCGAGGCTACAGGTTTCCGAGTGCTGGGATCTGAAGGAGAAGTTTGAGGACACAGCAACATCGACGATGTCCCCATTGGGGTATCTACTAACCAATAGCAGGATACCGGCTGGATAAAAGGTACCTGCTGTTGTAATTAAGGGAGTAACATGACTGCATTACAATAAACTGTTCACATTAGAATAATGTGCACATGCGCCATGGGATATGATTGACCTAAATCATCACTCATTGGTATGACATAGTATTTCCCAATAGATTCCTAATGGTATCTATTGGCGCTAGGATCTCTCACATCCTTCCTTTCTCGGTTAGACAAGGACAGATGTTGGAACATCCACTAGTGTGCAGAACCCCCTTATTCATGTATATAGAAGAAGGTCCTGTCACGTAGATAAATCAAGCAATTCATACAATAGGAAATTCAAACAATCTCCATATTATTCACACACTTGAGAATACCAGGGAATATCCTCAAGTTCGTCCATTGATCCAAGTCCTAAGAGTATAACTCACGAACTTTACTTCTCTTAAAGCCATAGCTACCTCCTTCCATACCTTCATCCTAACGGTACGTCATTCCAGCTCAGCATAGCCTTTCAATACCTGCTAACTTATCTCTTGCTCTCAGCGGAGAATGAGTGAATTTGTCATTTGGAAGGTGTGACGGACGAGGGACTGTGTGAGGAGCGCATTGGCTGGGTCCAATGTGGAGGAATCTTCTGTTCTATTCGGAGTTAATTTGATTTTCTTGATTTTTCGTTTTTGTTTAATCAGCTGCACTTTAGGCAGCGATTCACGAGGTTGGAACGAGTTAGGCTGTAGGAAAGATTACAGGGAACCCTGCCGGCTCCACCTGTCCTTGACCCAATGTGGAAAACATAGCTTTAGCTTAGGACAAAATAGACAAAACAAACTTAATGCCTCGTGTTAGCCAGCTCAGTCTACATAAACTATCCGACGTGCTGATACTTTTAAATAAGCCCGACATGTTATAAATGGGCCAAGGCCTACCTACCATGCACCCCGAACTATAGAAAGAAGTCAGAGGTACTCTCGAGCTGTGACTTTTGTATTCTAATACAGTAGAGAAGATAGTTATATACATGAAAAATAAAGTTATCCATCACCTAGACCAGAAGTCTTCTAAATTTAGCTCTAGAAAATATAGGCCAAGTGCATATAATTTGGGGTACTAGTTAGTCTTCTTGTTGCATGCTTCAACAAAGCACGTTTCATGGAGCCATTTACTAAAAGCTATGGCTCCTTCAGGTGAGCCTTGAATCCAGCGAATTCCCGTCGTTGGGTGTTTATTTCCGCTGCAAAGGCGGGACCGACTCCGATTGAGTCGACAAAAGAAGAAGTGCTCGGGAGACATTTCTAGCCCGCAAGTGCAGATCGGAAGAGCGTCCGAGTGCTGAAAGCGGCGGTGGTAGTCACCGAAGTCTCCATGGCCTGAGCGAGCTGCAAGAAGGCGACCAAGATCGTAGCGGTTAAGGCTCTTGAGTTCGGGGGAGCTCCCAATATTGGCGTTAATTCCCAGTTTTTGGTATCGTTCAGGAGCGTTTTGAGTATCTTGAGTAATGAACGACGTAAACCCCAACGCCGCACTAATACCACGTGACTAATTTCCGTAATCTTCCCCATAGCTACTCTACCAATGCCAATATTCACACAAGAACATTATACGGTCTGGGGCAATTTATCTCTTTAATTCATGCTGTACTACTACATTCTAGCTTGACACCATCTCATACTCTTAGGGAGGCTACTTGTTGAATGTTTGACGCTGTCAAGCAACTCAGATCGAAAATCACTACTACTACTACAAGTGTTTGCCCTACGGACAAGGGGCCATTTATTTGGTCACCGTACACATACAGCGGTTCGCTAAGGTTTCTGTTCAAGTAACATCTCCGCTGGTGAGATACCTGCCTTGCCGTGGAGGGCCATATTTGGGGTGGTGCGCCAAACTGTTAATGCCGCTAACATTGCTAGTAAGATAGTGGGATCAACGATAATGGTGTACCACCCATTACCCGTACTACCTTCTTTCCTTCGTTTAAAGGCAGGTCAAGTATATTTGAATGAAAGGAGCAACTGTTTTATCTCACAATTTGACGAACCTTTTTTTTCGTTAAGCTCTATCCTGGCTATCCAAATTAGCCTAACCAAGTTTCTTCAATGAATGAGACAATCAAAAGGTTTTCAGTGCCGCTGCATGTCTGATTCCTTGAGTTTGATGTAGTTTGACTTAAAAGTTTATGGAATGAATTGTTCAGTTCGTCCATGCCCTACACATTGAGTCTCTAATCAATGTGGTAGCCTACAGTATGATAGTGGCTTGTGAAGATAGTTGAAGGAGTAAATTTTTAATTACTTGATTGCGAATGATGTTATTTGAAACATATAAGAGGTTAATCCAAAATCTTTCGTGTTAAATAAATTCTAGCACGGCAAGCAAAGCTCAGTTTAAAAAAAATATAGCCTCTCTCCTAATTTTCTGCCAATACACATTGCACTTCCAAGCAAATGTGAACCGGAAGATAACAAATGTGTGACTCGTTTATTTTAGTGTATATCTAATAACCTATATTTTAATTAAACAAAAGATCAATTCAAGAATCCTCCCGAGTACAAGATTGTCCAATTTACGACAGCCTGGGGAGTCCTAACATCCTTATCTGTCAGGAAAGTCCTGTAAAACACTTCATGATGTTCCTCTAGCCAACAATTTATTCTCGATTGTCCCATCTAAATAATTGAGAATGTTAGCTAGACTCTCATTTAAGGGAACAGTAATTGTGTAGTAATTGTGTAGTAATTGTGTAGTAATTGTGTAGTAATTGATTGATCTTACCTCTTAGATCTTCAATGGTATTGCTGAATGCCTTAATAATCTTCTCATATTCGGCTTCATAATCTTCAGGGGTGCTATATTCATCTCCAGGCTCTCCAAAAAGTATCGTTCGGAGTTCATATGCTAAAGCCTTAAAATCTAAGAATTTGGTGGAGAAGTTATCGAGAATTCTTCTTCTAAAGCCCAAGATAGCTAGTTCCTTTGCATCGTAATTAGACTTGATGTTTTCTGTTGACCAAGCTTGTAGATCAATAACTTCTTGTGATTTCTCTCCACGTTCATATGTTATGCATCCTACTATGAACACATAAAAGAACGACTCCAGATCGTGATGAAACGTGCGAGCTATGGTTTCCCCACGATTTGCAGCGGATTGTAGCCTCTCAAGCGCCATGAATTTCATGGTGCCAGTCAAGAACAAGTTGTCATCTTTGCCTGGTGGTGGGTCGACCATTTCGGCGTGATCCAAATCGATCAACATCCCTTGAGTTTTACCACCTACAGTTGCTAGAATGATGTTACCGTCAGAGATGTCACCATGAAGTATTTTCTTTTCGACATATAGGCGGCGGTGTGCCACAATTGCGTCTCGGATGCCAACAAGAAACTCCATAATCGTTTTATGGAACGAAGACTATGGGCACGAGGTGAGATAACTATTCTGCGAAGTTCTCGATCTCTCAACTGGGGAGTCCGAGGTACCTCTACACCTTCAGCCATGCAGATAAAAGGATTGCAGTCCATCATCTTCAAATATTTCGCATTGCTGAAGTTGAGGTCCTTCAGATGATCACCTATGGTACAGATTATGTCTGCCGTGACATACTCGACTACGCCATCTATTCCATGGGCATGTTGCAAAAAGTCGATTTCTGATTTACCTGGAGTCCTGACCCACGAGTATTTAACAACACTGCTTTTGTCCGAAGTTTCGAAACAGGTAGTTCCACGAGTGACTATGGTACCCACCATGAAAAAAGGATTCGGATTAATGTCAAACTTCCTAGTCTCCTTCTGTTTCTCATCATAAATTGATACAGAAGAGCGTCCATTAACTTTTTCAATAGATGAGTCAATACCTAGTTCTTGATCACTCATGAAAAGGTATGAACAGATCGCTCTCACTAGCTTTTCTTTATCGTCTTCGATGTTGAATAAGCCCGAGCTATATGCGCCCGAGCGATTAAACACCCACAGTTCAAAATTTGATTTGAACGCGGTAAATCCATGTACGAAATGACGAAGTGGCTGTGTGTAAAACACTTGGAGAGCAAGTCTAGATAGCTGATAAAACTTTTCGTTCCTTTGACCTGAAGATTTCTTTTTCGTAAACTCACCCAGTACTCTCACATCACTCCATTGATGAACCTTACTATGAGCATTGGAAGACCCGATTCTCTTTGTGAGGAAGTCGGCCTGGTAATCATTGTCAGTACCCCCCATCGGGCATTTATCTGACGAGCGAAAATAACTGCAGCGCAACTTGGAGCCTTCTTCTTCTTTGATGATTGTTGTAAACTTTTCCGATGGTCTGTGGAATTTATCTGTGAGCTGATTCAAAAAATTCTCACGATAAAAATTTAGCCAGTCCCACATTTCATCTTCAGTCATGTCTCCAGTCAGAATCTTGTTAGTAGAGACTATTTCCGGGGTTTTCACAGATACGGCCTCTATCATATTGGTTTTGTTCTGGATATCATTGTTATTTGTATTCAAGATATTTTGCGAACTTTCGAGCGATTCGTTTTCTGCCAAAATTGCCGATTCTTCGTCATCTTTTTTTGTCTGACTTCGGGTTTTTCTGAAAGTTTTTGGTGTTTCTTCCTCCATCACAGTCTCTAAATTTCCGGCCAACTTATTTTTATAACTTCGAGTAACTTTACGAGTATCCTGTAGCCTTCCATCTTTTCTTACTTCTTGAACCTGGGTTACCTTCTGCTTGTCGTTCATGGTTTCTCTTTGTGTCCCCGTCTCAGCTTTTTCCTGGATCTTAATTTCATTTTGTTCGTATGCTTTATAGCTTTTCCAAATATTCCATGTTTGATCGGACCAATCTTTACCCAGGAAAAGCTCCGTCCAAAAATTGTCCAAATCCACAATTACATTTTTATAAAGTTCATTCCTTAATGCTGCGGTCATAGAAGTGACATTTTTGTTAAAATCTTTTGCCTCTGAAGCACTTCGGGTGAATGTAAATAGACCGGGTGCGGGTGTCAAAGTTAATCGATCACTGTGGTCACTAAGTTGATTGCTACTTGGTTTATCTGCTTATTTTTCGACAAGTTCAATCGCAATTTTGAATACTTCAGATTCATCTTGGTATTGTGAGATAGCTTGGACGAGAGGTTGAAGTTCTGTGAGATGACGCCCATCGAGCATAATCTCCGAGGAGATTTTGAAAAATTTACCAGTCAGTTTGCTCAGTTCATCGTTAGGACTGATACCTAGTATATGAGCAGCTAATGTCCCAAATAGTGTCGCGACACCTAATATGTTAGCTTCCGTTCCCTTGCTTATTCAGTGAAAATTACCATTTTTAGCACTCTTCTCTGTGTAATTGTTTCGAAATGTTGTAAGAGTAGCTTCGATTGGTTTCTCTTTGAGATGAGCAAAAATTTCCGGATAGTGAGACATTTCGTAAAGTGTTGGTTTGAAAGTTGTCGTTTCGATGAATGTGATTATGGAAAGTGAGATAGAGAGCAACGAAGCGCATCAGTCGCGTGGATATAGAGCGGATGGTCATATGAGAGTCATGCATCAAGGCATCTTCCTGCATAACCGCTTTATTCTTAACGCCAGCGCAGAAGATTTAGTCATAGCCATTGGTGTCAGTGTACCTGCTCACTATGCCCTGCATATCTGGGATAGCTAAGAACAATTGAATCCCAACAAATGTTGAAGGCAACCTCCAGTATATCAAAAATCGACGAATTCTCGTTAATTTCAGAACTATAGGCAATGAGCTTTTCTGGCCCATTTACTCGTGTCACGTCTGAAATGATTGGGTTTCCTTTCTGTCAAATTGTAATTTTCAAGTTCAAGTCTAATTGTAGACCTTTCATTCTCACAAGAATCCTCTAGTTCAATATTTCTGCATCACCTCGTGTCAACCACCCATGATGGCATTACTCCAATTGAAATCTGGAATCTGCCTCATCAAGGATTGGCCATCTTGCACTACAAAGCTTGGGCATTGGTCCCTGGGGGACCATTGCTCTAATGGTGCTTCACATCATGAGGGATAACAGTAAGCCGGTGCATAGGATGAACAAATGATGTTTGGGATAAACTACACCACAGACTACAAGAACTTCAACCTTAGTACAGGCTACGGTCTCGGCTTTACGGGTCCATACAAATATTTGTGAAACGTCAAGTCATGTTCAGGCATTCAAGTTGGTATCTTGTCTAATTTCGTTCTTTTACAATCACGGACTTATTGTTTTTGCGGGTTTTTTTTTTGGCATTAGATTTTAATTGCGTATGCAGCTATCTAGCTATGACGCAATATCAAAGAAAAGTACAGAAAAGATGACTCAATTTACAAGAGGAGCACTCATGCCTCAGATTTCATTTGCAAGTACCACTGCGAAGTTATGGTAGCTTTTTCTTCACCCCAAGTCAACCCTTCTCCGTGAATACCCACCCAGGGAAACGTCTCAAAAACCCTGAGTTATCCAGACATGCCTCCGTCATCCATCAACTTTTCTCCGCGCGAAATGTGATCTTAGGTGTCTCCTTCACAGGTGGATTAGATGCCCAGGATACTCAAACTTATCGGAGAACACCACCAGGAGGCGGATCATAACGCCTTCCATCGTTGGCTTATGTTTATGGTGTCAGCTGCGCTCACCAAACTCGGGACTGCCCTAGGAAAAGGGCTTCTTGTGCGAACTGCGGCAAGGAGCACCGTTCGTGGCAGAAAGCAGCGTGTCGGGCCTATAAGGTTTGCAACGGTAGTGTGGAGAAGGCTCGGATGGAGCTGTTATCGAGGACGGCAGAAATAAGGAATGAAAAACCAACAATGGCGCCAATACAAATAGTCGGACCGACTGATGATCAACGATTCACTTCGGTCACCAGTAAAAAGGCTGAAGGACTCAAAAGAGGGCCGGGACGACCACACAAGGTAGTCGAAGCCCCAGTGGCACCAATCATCGCCTCTACAGGAGCACCACCGTCGGGGCCATCTCTTCGAACACTTCGAAGACCAACGCCGAGTGAGGAGGTGCCTTCTCTTTTTAAATTCTCATAACGATGTTCTGATTGAAGGGGGAGTCAATGAATTTAGAGAAAAGTTTACATAATTGCGTTTGAAAGGAACGTCCTCAGCATAAAGTCGGGTCGGTTCAAAGTGGCAGGACATCGGGTTTTGTTTGTTAAAAGCTTTTTCCCTTACCAAAGTGGCTTACCGTCTTCATGTCTCTGTATACAGATACCGCATAGGACGTTAAACTAGAACAATGAATGAATAATATTAATAATAGTAAATGAGTTCGAAGTACCGGCGCACCTGCTTAGGTAAGTAGCATGGATTTGATTACTAAGACTCAAATACGTATTACTAGCTTTCGTTGGATAGAATAGAGAATCTAGTTATTTTGTATATATTTTTACCATCACCTAAGTGAAGTCACAGATGAAGTGTCTGGATCAAAGTAGCTCCAGATCCTTAGTAGATTAGCTTCATATTTGAACTGCTCATACCATCTTTTCCAATCTGAGCTTCTTTCGAGAACGAGAACCGATGTGCTCGGAGAGTTTGCAAACTCCATAATTGAAAGTTATAAGATTTTTAGGACAAAAAAGTAAAACAAAATAAGATGGTTCCACAATAAAGTATGATCTTATGCTTAGGATGGAACTAATAAAAATAGAGTGAAGATAACGTGTAGTTGGTCGATGTTAGAGATGTTTCTTAAGTATTTGATCAATTGGATAAGGTAACGCTATCCGGACTCATGACTATTAGACTTTTTATGAAAAATGAGGTTTGCATTTGGTAAAATAAAATTCTGTTTATCTTTTTTTTAAAGGTCAGAACCTCTTCTATATATTTAATGATCATATTTGATCCAACTTCAGTCTCAGTTTAATCCGAAACATCCAGAGCGACGTTTTCAGCTAACTCTGTTTCGTTATGCGGAGATAACAATTACAAAACAACCGCAAAAACAATAATTCCGTGATTTGAATTTGAATTTGATTTCATCATCTTGATTTGGTGCCCTATGGGCCCATGTAGGTGTGTATCATACTCTCTAATTTACGTGGGAGGACATCTTTTGGTGAAAACCCCCCAAACCTTCTATTGTGAGGTTATGGATCGTAGAGAAATGCTGGAATGGTATAGGGAGGTGAAGGATATATGCCGAACAACGAAGCAGTTAAATAGAGCTTTAGGGTGAAGCTTGGTAGGGTGACACCAAGAGGGTATGAATAGACCTTCAGAGATATTCTGTAAATGTAATGAATTGAGGATTTGTGAAGGAGAAGAACACTACATATATATACAGGAATTAGTCCTACTGAGACGACTTTAGAAATAAGCCAGGATATGCGCCCATGTCCCAGTATGGCAACATTATCATGGTGAAGGAATGTCTTGACCACCAGTAGACCCCCGAGCTAGCTGAGTGTAAGACAGAATTAGGCATATACCATAATTTCCTACATATCTTGTGATAAGCGCCAAGATTAATTAACATTACAGAAAAATAGATGTGGCACAGTATTAAATGATACGAATAATGGAAACGAAACCAAGATAGTACATGACTAGTGTAACAGATGCAGGACTGTTAGAATTACAACAGATCCTTGTTGTAATGTGTAGTCTATGGGGAATACATTAGATTAGAGTGGTAGTTGTGTTGGGTGATGTTTAGTGCACAGACACCTAAATCTTGTACATAGGAAAATTCTTCTCCCCAGTACATGAACATAGTCTTCAATACACAACAATCAGACCACAAGGTTATCACGTCCTGCGCATAATGCTTAGCAAGAGCTTCAGCTCATTGACTACTGTTTGCTCATAATCACAACAATCCTACCGCATGACCCACTAAATAACAAATAGATAGTTTAAAATTTGCAACCGTACATAAATTCAACCTTTGAAACCAAACTCATATCCACAAAACTATCCAGCCCTGCAGATTTCCCAATTTCTGGTCAGAAAACAAATCTTCTCGCCTTGTATTCCTTCCGGTCATATCATCTGTATGACTAATTTATATGGTCCTCGATGAGATCAGAGGACGAATTTGTAGATGGCAACCCAAAACAGCAAGTTTCCCTAACAAAGTTTTCGAAATTTTCGGGACACTTTGGCCCGAGAAGCTTTTGGATGATGTCACTATGTGACAATCTCCCTCTGAGTCAACGCGTGACGTGTGAATGTAATCGACAGTGAATGAATTGAGTTGGAGCGGTCTCCTTCCGGCAGGTGCACTCCATGAGAGCGTCCATATTATTGAAACGGCGATGATACGCCTCGAAATCGCCATGGCCCGTACGAGCTGCAATCAGATTTCGGAGTAGGAACCTCGAAAGTCCCAGATCAGGTGGTTTTCGTCGTCGCATGAGCAGGTCGAGCTTGCAATATCGCGGCGGGCAAGCTTCGTTCAACCATTTGTCGAGCAATGCTTGCCGCAAACGATTCATTTGGCCATGCAGAAATGCCAGAGTTATGGATTCTGGCCGTATTTCAGAGCTAGGCAGCTTTCGTAGGCCAGACCGGGCGGTCGAGTCAGCTTCTAGGTTATCCTGAATTCTTGAATGTCCAGGTACCCATTTAATTATCACGCGAGCTGATTTGGACAACTCACGAAATTTCCGTACTTAATTGTGGCTTGTGGTAGACTTGCCTGTCTCAAGTGCGTTGATCGCCTGTTGACTATTGATTAGTAGGTAGACTCGTTGTCTCGCGCTCTGGAATCCCAATGCTGCTTCAAGAGCCTTCCTTGCCCCGGTCATTTCCGCATCAAAAGCCTCCCCCCTATGCCTGATACCACTTCCTGTGAGCAAAGTCTGCCCGTCTCTCTTCAGAACGAAACCCCACGCAGAGCGTCCATTCCCTTCCGATGAGCCATCCGAGTAGGCACAAATTTCCGACTTCGACACCTGGTTGATCC